CAAGCCCAGGGAGCAGCTGCTCTGTCGTTTCTGGCCCCGTTCGTCCTGTGGAGGACAGTAGCCCTGCCTTGGATGGCAGGGTACCACGTGAGTTGATCAGATGCAGACTGAGGAGCACACAGTGGGCTACAGACCTTAGGGCAGCTCACTGCTCCTCACAGGTCACCTCACTTGGTAAGGGGAGTCTGGTCCCCATTAGGCTCTATGTGGTTCTCGTCATGCCCGCAACAAAGTCATTACAGCCTCAGCTGTGCACTGTCTTCTCCGAATGATTCAGACTAGATTTTAACCTCTGCTGCATAATGACCTAACTTGAGCATCTCATTATTAGACAGTGGGGAAATCACATAAGTCTACAGTTAAGCTTGAATAGCGACCTCAAAGTTTAGGGGAGCATCAGCTCATGTGTCCTAGTTAGAGCACGGGAGGTCAGGTTCATGGAACTCCATGGGGGACAAACGCTTCAGGAGCCAGACAGGTGACCCAAGGTAGTCCATATTGCCCTGGGGCTCTTTAAGGAAACAGCAAAAAAGCTGGCAGCATGAATTGTCTCAAGGCTCTTATTAGGCCTTAGACCTAAAGTAGCGCCTTGCAGGGCCTTGTGACGGTTCTGCACTGACCTTGGTAAGTTCTGGCACCTGTTCTTGATCAAAGCATTCTTCTTGGGTGTAGGACATGGCAGGGATGTCGATTTTATGGGCTCAGGGAGGCTGGAAAGCCGAAAGCCCAGGCCATGCGTGCCAGGGAAGGTGTGGTTTTTGCGTTTTTGCCTACTGGCACTCAGGCAGCCATCCCCGTGTGCCTGCTTGAACCACCCAGAGGGAATATCCCAGACATTCTTAGTCCATTCTCTCCTCCTCACCTCTTCTCCAACAGCTCCCTGCCACGCCTGCTGATCCATCTTTCCTTCTTGCCTCAGGTGTCGGAGAGGTGGCATGATTGTGGACCCCCTGAGATCCGGCTTCCCAAGAGTACCTATTGACCCATCCTCAGGCCTCCCAACCCGCCTTCCTCCAGGCGCTGTGCCCCCAGGAGCGCGCTTTGACCCCTTTGGACCCACTGGGATCAGCCCATCTGGGTAGGTATTCACTCAGGTGTGCTGGAAGCAGGACTTGATGGCAGCTCAGCTCAGCTCAGTGTTACATGAAGCCACAGAGTTGCCACTAGCTCCATCCCCCACTGCCAAGAGAGTGGAGCCTCCTCAGACCCTGTCTGCTGCCCCCCTGGAGCTTCCGGAGCTCCCCATTCCTCCGTGACTCCCTTCCCCAGCTCCCCTCAGGGAGGACCCAGAGGAGGAGGAGCTATTCACTTACTGGAAGTTTCTCATGTTCCGGGAGTTCACTAAATCCTTATATCAACACTTGCGGGTAGATATTAGCATCCACATTTTACAGATGCAGAAATCGAGGCCCTGAAAGATGAAGTAACTTACCCATGGTGGAAGAATCAGGGTTCAGTCCCAGTGTGTCTGGCTCTGGAGTACGCGCTCTTAAACCTCACGAACCACCACATCATTCTGGAGGGCAGCAGGCTCCCTCAGCTCAGGGCCCTGTGTGCCTGTGTGCCCCTGGCTTTCCATCACTCCAGCTCACCAGCCCCTCTTTCCATTCCAGACCTAACCCAGACCACCTTCCCCCGCCGGGCTTCGATGACATGTACCTGTGAAGGCCTCAAGAATGTAACGTCCCATCCTTTCCTCCACTCTCCTGGAGCTGCCACCGCTGGCCCCACCAGCAGCCGTGTTTTTGCAGGCTGGGGGCAAGGGACTCTGCCCATGTGTTTGCAGGCCGGCTGGGATTGCCTCCCCACCCCCTGTCAGAGCCAAGGCGCCTACTGCAGCTCTCCACCTGGCTGCATACAGGTCCCAAAGAGAAATCAGTATGTCTGTCTCACCACCAGCTCCTCCCCACTTCCCAAGGGAGACTCCGGCAACATATACCCTCGACCCGAGGCAGTGCTATAAGAACAGAACGCATTTTGGATGATATTATTGAGAACCAAATGTCAATACAAAAAATCATGTTGCCGTGTCCCACTTTTCTTTACTGCACCGTTCCTTCTAATTATCAGACTTTAGAGATTGAATCTTTGTGAAGCTAAATAACTCTTTTCCCACCCAGGTCCCATTCTTGCTTCTCAGGCACCTTCCCTTCATAAATTGCTATTGCGCTTGACATCACTAAGATGGGCCCAGCCTGGCTCCATGGAAGAAAATGAGTGACTGAAAAACCCACAGGCCACCAGGATGACCCTCATCTGAGCCAGTCCTCTGGGTCTGCCTGTCTGAGCAATGGCAGCCTAGAAACAGAACAGACCTGAAAGCTAATCGCATTTTTACCACTAACTTACTAAGTGACCCTGAGTCCCTTCCCCTCCCAGGGCCTTCGTGCCCACCTGTGAAACCTGAGGTGCCCTTCCTACTCTGAAACATTCTGATGCCGGCCTCTGTGTGTGGCGACCGCTGGGAACTGGGCAAAAGGAAACAATTGGAGGTCTCGGGTGTGTGTGGTCCTTACGGCATCTGTAACTCTGTGCCTCTCATCTCCCTTGGGGCCCAGACAAGCGCAGAAGCGTGGGCTCCATCTGAGCGTGGGGTTCAACTTGGAGGTGAGCAGGGAGGCCAGCCTCCGGAAGCCAGTGGCTGGATGGGAGGAGCCAGTTAACAAGAAACCGCCCAGGAAGGCATCACTCCCAAGGAGCCCCGCCTCCGGAAGCCTGTGCCCTCCGTCCAGGCCCACCTGACCTCCGGTGTTCTCCCAATCCTTTTCAGCCCGAGGCCTGACAGACGTGGTCAGTGAGGAGCCCCTGTGCTGGAGTCGAGAGAGCACCATAGAGCGCCAGGCCCAGAGGCAAGAGATAACGCGCTAGTCACGTTGGCTTCACAACTAGCCTTTCAGCCACGGGTGGGCCTCACTTCTCAGCTGCTTGGGTTCCTTCCCTTAAATTAGGACCTGTTGATTACTTATCTGTGGACGGGGGACTACCAGAGCCTTCCTGAGGTGTGTGCTAGTGTGCTAGGACTGCCTGTTGGCTGTGCCTGAGAGTGAGTTACGGTAAACTGAACTGGCACACAGGCCCAGAATCAACCGGAGGCTAGCATGAGCGGGCCCCCTGGGCATTTCTGGCAGACCCCATCTCAAGCACTGATCTAGTAAAAGACCACCTTGAATCCTTTAGAACACCTCTGCTCTGGGTCGGGCAGAGCTACTAATGAAATCATCAGTCATAGTTTTCTTCCTTAAGAGTCGGCAAATGGGTGGAATGTTTTTGTTTTGAAATTGGATCATATCCACTATCAAAAGGACTTGGAGCAATTTGCTCATAAAAGCATCCTTTATTATAAAAGGAAACATTTAAAGAAACATCAGACCTGAGACCATCTGCTTTCAGATAAGCAGGGAAGGTAGGTAACTTTTAGGACCCTGATTCAAAGAAAAGACAAGACTGAAACAGCAAGTTTGCCTCTTAGATCTTCTAGTAGCAAAGGTCGAAAGGATAGCCATATACATACTCTGTTTTCTGAAAACAGAAGCTTTAATGATTCATCTGCAGAATCAGCCATTTTGTGTGTGCGTGTCTCCTTGCATCAAGGACATTGAGGGACACAAACAGTATCTTAGTTGTCACGTGGGGGCCTTTAGGAACTTCCAGGTCAAGCTGTCCGTGCTTGTAGTTGGGGCCACTTCCCTCCTTCCACCGGGAGTGATCACCAAGCGGCAAGTGGGAATGGATCAGGTGTATATTCTGTGGAACCTGAAAGTTTGGAGCCTTAACAATAAATACCAGCACTTAATAATACCTATTTCTCTTTTTTTAAGTAATTTTATTGAGACACAATTCACATACCCATAAAGTTCACCCTCTTAAAAGTGTGCAGTTGATTTTTACTATATTCACAGTGTCGTGCATCCATCACCATGTCTAATTCCTGAACATTTTCACCACCCCGAAAAGGAACCCCATACCCATTAACATTCTCTCCATTCCTCTATTCCCAGCCTCAGGCAACTACTCATCTATTTTCTATCTCTAAAGATTTGCCTATTCTGGACAGTACCCATAAATGGAGTCACATAATATGTGGTCTTTTGTGTCTGGCTACTTTCACTCAATGTCTTACAGGTTCATGTTGTAGCATGTATCAGTACATCATTCCTTTTTATGGCTGGATAATATTCCATTTATAGCTGAATAATATTCCACTGTATCACTATACCACATTTCCTTTATCCATTTATCAGTTAATGGACAGTTGGGTTGTTTCCACTTTTTGGTTATAATGAATAATGTTGCTATGAACATTTGTGTACAAGTTTTTAGTGGACATATGTGTTTGATTCTCTTGGGTATATACTGAGGAGTAGAATTGCTGGATCACATGGTAATTCGATATTTAACTTTGAGGAGCTGCCAGACTGTTTTCCAAAGTGGCTATACCACTTTACTTTCCCACCAGTAGGGTATGAGGGTTCCAATTTTTCCACGTCCTTGCCAGTACTAGTTAGTCTTCTTGTGTATAGCCCTCCTAGTCGGTGTGAAGCGCTATCTTGTGGTTTTGTCCTTATTTAAAAAAAAAAAATTGGTCCTGGCCAAACAAGGGTGAGAACAGAGCCAATCACCCCCTGGGAAGAAAACCATGCTTTTGGACTTAGCCATTTTGGAATGACAAGGGCGATGATCCCCCAGAGAGTTGGGTTTTAATTTTGGGGAAGGTTCCGGGCCTGATGGGGATCCGGGACGGTCCCTGCCTGTGGGAAATTCCCATGACCTTTCCAAATCTTGTGAGGTTCATAGCATCACTTTTGCTTGCTTACAAGTAAAATAAAGGTCTGGTTCCAAATCCTTGTCTTTTGGTGAAGCGCCGTACACCACTTGTATCATCTCTGGCAACCCCCTTTCTTGCGCGTCTTCCTCTCAGTTTTTGATCTGGCTGTGTTTCTCATTGCGCTTATCTGCTCAGTCATGAGCTGCTGTCAACCTCCATCGTGAAGTCATGAATCTCTTGAGACCCCAACTCCAAGAATGCCTTATGCTCAAAATAGAGACTTTCTATTCCTGTGCTGGATGGTTAGTACCTGTTGACATGTAGTTAGAACACAGGTAGCAAGCCCCACACAGGCTCACACTTTGGAACCCAGCTCCCCTTACAGCCTCCCTTTCTACCGTCTTCAGTGAAAGCCTGTTACTGACCCATGCCTGTCTTCACAGAAGGAAAATTAGAGTCTGCGGAACAATTAATATCCTCTGTCACCCTCTAATCTTGTCTACTTTGGTGCAGGTCCAAAAAGACAGGTCCCACCTCCAAGGAGAGGAAAGACACCCCCCCACCACCAGGCACACCCTCAGCTTTCTCTGTCATAAAACTTGCATGCTTGTGGGCCATGATCTACTGTTGGCACCACAGGAGAGACTCAGAGGCAGGCAGCCAAGTCCTCAGCCCTTGTTTGTCCTTGGGACACCACACAGCATCCTGAGTCACTCCAGCTGTGCTTGGCCCGGAATCTGGCCTGGAGGATGGGATAAAAGGCAGGAGTGGCAGGCAGTGAGGATGGCGGGCAGGGAGGATGGCAAGACCCAGGTGACCAAGGACAGACCCTGGAATGCAAAGATAGCAATGACATGAGGTTTCAACACCTCACTAGCTGCAGGGCTGGGTGGGAGGTACAGAGTGGAAGGCTCAGTCCCTGCTGAGGCTGACGGTGCAGTTAGTAGAGGAGATTGGATGACTATGTGAAAGGCCATGTTCCATCCAAGCCACATAAGGTGAGTGAGAATAACAGTGTGATGGCGATTCAGAGGGAGGAGAGAGTGGGAAGGTGCTGCTCAAGTGTTAGTCCCGGGGTTCAGCTCCAGTAAACAGACGACTTGAGCTTTATTTAAACAAAAAGATTTGGGTATAGAGATCAACAAGATTATATCATTATTGCCATGACCTGAGGATCAGGAAACTCCAGAGCCACACAGCAACTGCCTAGATCTGCATGAGAAAGCGAATGCCCTTCATACTGCCACCCTGGCCCCCACTCAGCTCAGTTCCAAGTTCAAGGCTTGATTGAATGCATCTGATGGAACCTACATCACCTCTCAAACAATAGCTGCAAGACGGCCTGGAAAAATATCCTTGTTCCCTTCTCCCACCTTCCATTCAGGAATGTGCATTAAGACAGAGAGGTCTGATGGGCTGGTCTCCTGCTGTCTGCTCCATGTCTCCTGTCTGTCTGCTCCATGGGCCATGGTACAGATGAGTACCACAGCTGTGCTTCCCCAGCTTGTCTGAGCCAGTCACCTGAGATGCTTGCTCAAAGTACTCTACATCCTGGGCCCAACCCAGACCGTGATCCAGGGAAGGGCCCTGGATCTCTAGGGAAGGGCCTTTAAATCCATGTTTCACACATTCCTCAGGTGATTCATACTATGAAATATGGTTGAGAACTCGTGAGAAGGGAAGATTTTCTACATCCTTGCTACTCAAACCAGCAGCACCAGCTGCAGCTCCTGGGAACTTGTTAGAAATGCAGAATCTCAGGCCCCACCCCAGACTTATTAAATGGGAATCTGCATTTTAACAAGTTCCCCAGGTGTTTCATGTGCACATTAAAGTTTGAGATGCTCTAGTGTATAATCTGTATCTTTTTCCTTCCCTGGGACATCAGGTACAAAGAAGGGAGTCAGTCTTCCTGGTTCATGGCACACTGACTAGTGCATGCAAGAACCCCCTCATTTTAAGTTTTTCCACTTTTACCCTCTATATCCATTCCATTCCCATGCTTCCGTGGGTCACTCAAATGTGTTTCATATGTTTTTAAGTATGTATAGACCCTTGTAAAATAGCATATATTATATCTTCAAATCATAACAACCATCAATGAGATATCATTTTCTAGACCAGAAAAAGAGAGGTTGGAAAAGGTCCAGTAATTTACTCAAAGCCAAGCAGGGGTATCAGGCAGGTATGAGTGTGACTCTGAGCTCCACCTTTGCTGGTGTGTGGCCTTATCTGCAAAATGAGCATCACCTCTGCCTTCAGGATTGTCTCAGGGTCCAGCCAAATAATGTGTCTTATAAACATAGCTGGAGCTCAGTGCTACCAGCTATTATTACTGAGGCCATATGGGTAGATAAGCCTGGGGTCCCATGAACAAAAGGAAGGGAACCTTAGGGGGCCCTCCTGTGCAGGAAACAAGCATTAATCTGGTGTCCACAGCATGCTAGGTGTTTCCTAGTCTCGTGTAGCCACCCTGAGTAAACACTTAGCAGCATTGGTTGAGGTGCTGGACTTGCCCTGCTAGGGGTGGCAGAACTGTGATGGGAAACTCAGCCTGGTTCTAAAGCCAGTGCTCTTTGTAGAACTGCTATACCCAGACTCCACACCCTGTCCAGGTAAGAAGCTTGGATCCCTGGGCAAAACCCATTCCGGAGGCTGGGAAACCAAATCAGGACTTCTGTGAGACAAGAACGATGCTGCATAACCCCCAGGGTGGTATAAGACTCCTAACGCAGTCCAGCTTGTGAAATGTCTCATGTATCTGAGTACTTCCACCTACCGCCACAGCGCCCACAGGTTGGGAGCATCTGAAACCACCCAGCACAGGCCCCATTCTACAGAGGAAGGTACAGGCCCACGAAGCCCCTCCGTGAGGGTGAGATCCTGAGAGGCTTCACTGGGCCCCAAAGATGGGCTTGGGCTCTGTGCAGGGCTCTGTTCACCAAATGATGCTCACCTCTGCCTACCGAGTTTAGTAGGATAGGAACTACTCTCCCCATTGAACAAATGAAAAAGGTCCAAAGCAGTTTAGTGACCTTCCCAAGGCCATGCAGACCACAGAATACCTAGCTCCAAGGCTCTCCCACTAAGAACTGCCCCAAACAGTCATGTGCTCCCTGAGTGACCAAAAGAATGAGGTCTCCCTCCCCTTAGCCAGGCTGAGTGTTAAGAGGAAGGCACCATATAGGTTCAGCACCCTGGTCAGCGCCCACCATCCTTGCCGCTGCAGGAGGCGGACTTCCGGCCAGGTTAGGCCAAACAAACTGCTCCCAAATCCCCGATGGCCCACTTCTGGGACAGACAGACATCCCTAAGAGAAGGGGACCTGGACGTAGGTGTCCTGCCTCCAAGACACAGCCTTGTCCTCTCCCTCTCCTTCAGATTAGAACCACAGGAACACAGTGTCATCCTGTAGACTTCTTGGTTTCCAGGACATAAATTCAAGTGAGAAACCTATAAAGAAGAGAGGGATAGTAGGAGCCCTGGGCCATGGTGACCTGGGGCAAGTCCTGCCCCCGCCCCTTTGGCTTTAACCATCTGTAAAATGGGGATAAAGGTGGACTTGACTGTCACCAAGATCCTGCCCATCTGTGAGATTCCATGATTCTAAGTGGGCCATGGGCCTGAACAAGTTCAGTACTCCCCCACCGCCCTCCTCCTCGCCCTCACAGAGCTTCCCAACTCATTTAAACCATGGGCCTCAGATTGGCAGCCCACAGCCCAGATCTGTACACAAATATGCTCTCCCTGGCCTGCACGTTATTAAATTTGGTAAGATGCATGATTCCATCTTGTTAAAATTGAGTCTTGACACTGCTATCTATCAGCTCTCACCTTGTGACCTTGGGCAAGTCACTTAACCTGCCTGTTCTACTGCTTTCTCATCAGTAAAATGGAAGTAATGATAGCATCTACTCTCCAAGGTGGTTATGAGGTTTAAATAAGCTAGCAGATATAAAGACTTAAAAGTGCCTGCCACAGAGAGAACAATGTATTTTGTTAAAAAATTTGATGATCTAATGTGTAATGTGTA